ATTATTTATAAAATTAAAATTTCAAAAATATTGATCTTAACAATTTCAAATTTAAAAGCTTACTTAGTTTCAAGAAAATAAAATAATTTAAATTTTAGGAGGAATGGAAATTTGGATGTACATATTTCAATATCATATCATTTTTATTATATAAACACAGATAGAGAGAGAGAGAGAGATATCAAACGCAAGCTCTATACCAACTACAAGCGCAACCCTCTGACACGCACTTCTCTAACACCGTCCTTTACGACACAGCCAAAATAACTCGCATCGACGAATACCTTCTGTCAATCACTGAAGGCACACCTCACCCGAGTGCACAACATTGTCCTTGATGTCTCCACCTGCAGCATCCTCACGGAGGCCCCGTCCAAGCCTTGCGCTATAAACCTCTCCAGTATCTCACCCTATACTTCAATGAGCGTGACTTTGACGCCTCTAGCATCTCTCTTTTCAACTGCGGTTCTCGTCACAGAGAACTCGTCGATTCTCTGGTCACAGAGTCTATCACTATCTTAATACCTACACTTGCGTTAGAACCCCACTCCCTCCACTACACCAATTGTACCTACGAATTGCCCATACTTTCTGCCTTAAATAAACTTAGCCCGCAAGGTATTAAGCCTCTTGCTCACATCTCACTTTGAAAATATTCTCTATTCATTCCTAAGAGGTGGTTTTATTGTGTTCAAATCTCACACTGTGACTTTCCATCTACCGAAAAAAAAAAAATGTATATATATATATATATATATATATATATACTGTATACAAAGAAATGATTATGGAGTTTAAAGAAACCCTAAAATTTATAACGAGATGGTAAATATGTTTCCAAAAAATTTTTTGGACCTTTTTGTTTTCTCGTTCTGTGTTTTTCATAGTGTTATAAATTAACAAAATATAAAATAGAGCAAAGTTGCATTTATAAAAAAAAATTAATTGGAAATATCCACAATAAAATTGGGTCGTCAAAAATGTACCAGTTTTTGAACATGAGTACCAAACGAAAAAAAAAAAAAGAAAAGTACCAATTTTTGTACTAAAGTACCATAAGTGGCAACCGTGGTTCTAACGCAAAATTACATGAAGAGGATGCTCTTTTAATGTCTTACTTCCTTATTTTCTTTAACAAAGGAAATAATTTTCATAATGGATAAATAATAATGGATAAAGTTTATGATAAAAAAAACAAAAATGAGAAAAAAATTACTCTTTTTGCAATAACTAAATAATCCAATGGAAAAAATATATCTTTGGTGTTTATAACACATAACATAAAATAAAATATTTTCTATTAAGTCATCGAAGTAATTTAAAAACTTAACGTCTTGCACTTAATAGAACCAAAGTATTTGTCCATAAGTTTTTACTTTCATTTTGTTTTATTAAGAATGAAAATGTAGATACTAAAAATGTAAAAAATAAAAGAGGAAAAATTAACAAGCAAACAATTATATTAAAATGAAAACACTTTTCATTGTGCATGTATTATATTTGGAGTAATTAATGTATGAACTTAATGAGAATTATAAATATTTGAAGCGTACAATGTAAGCTTTATAGCGTTTTGTTACTAATTATGGGTGCAATATATGAAAATATATTTCTATGAAAAGCTAATACATTTCTACTTTTGTTGATATAGTTATTATGTATAATTATTTTTACTTTAAACCAATATAATCCAGATAAACCTAAAAAACAATATCACTGTATAGTAGTTGCTTCAACCAGTTGCATTTAAAAAATTTATAAAAATCTTTTTTCATTAATATTTTTATATATCTGTTTTTATAGATATTATTCTAATAGTTTTACAATAATTTATAGAGATTGCTTTCAAACTAGTTTTTTATTGAAAGAAAGCATATGATATATCTGTGTATAAAAAAAAAGCAAGACTACTTCTTTTTTTGTAAAATGCGATCCTATACAAAACTGTAAGTGATCACATGAACTTCATTGTAAGAAGTTGCAATTTTCAACTTAAGTTAAATTGTCTAAAATATAATTATATATAATAATATATATTCTTAATCACTTTTTTTAACTTATATACATAGGATTGTACCTATTAGTTACTAGTTTGAAATTGGTTGAAGAAATATATACTTCGGACTACGCATTATTTCTTTGGGTTCGAAATAAGGTGGTTTCCGTATTTTCATTGCTGTTAACGGTCATCTACCTTTTCTCAGTTTTCTTAGCACCTCATCATCTATAAAATTTTTCTGCAGATCCATAATTTGAAAGATATTAGTATATTTGTATATGTAACTCAGTTCTATATAAAAGTTATGAGAGAATGCAACATATCACTAGAAGTGGTCTTAAGAGTAAGTTCAACTTATGGGATTGTAATTTTTATTTATTTTGGCAGATCCAAAAGACCAGAAGACCAGATAGTGAAAGTGTTTGATTTTCTTTGTTTTACTAAACATTCATTACTTTGTAACGTCAATTTATTATGTATTGTGTTTTCGATCGCAACACTCTTTTGTTTTTATAAACTTCTTTTACGGTATTTGTTTAAAGAAAAAATATAAAATATATTTTATAAAAGGATGCAAATTTTACAAAGTTACAAAGTATATAACTCAAGCATTTAGCGATAAATCGTCTTTGTACGAATAATGAGCAGGAAAAATTTTTATCGCAAAAAGTTGATTTTATATATTCTATATATGACTTCATCTGAATATATCGAATCAGCAGGCAAATTGTTGACCTTCATAAATTCACGGATCTTACTTTCGACAAGATGCATTATGAATTCACATTATGAATTTACTAATATATAAAACAATCTTTTAAGTAGTAAAGTATCGGACGCTTTTTTTTTATCTCAAATTCTATAATCTTGAACAGAAATGTCTGTGCTGTCCCATATAATCCAAAGTAATCCATTTGAAATAAAAAATCTTGCAGTAGACGTAAATGGAATCTATATCATTTTTTATCATAACTTCTGTCATTTTTATTATTCAAAGACTTATACCATTTTTTCACTTGGAACTGCTGAGTACCTGTTTAAATCATTTAATATACAATTAGAATTATAATTCTAAGCAATGTTGTTGCTGACGCTGAGGCTATAGCTGCCATATTGATACCGCTACTTCAAAAAATATGGAGAGATGAAGAAATACCGAACGACTGGAAAGAAGCAATTACTGTTAAGATGTCTAAAAAAGGCGATCGGAAAAAGTGTGAAAATTGGCGCGAAATGTCTATTTTACCAACGATTTCTAAAATCTTTTCTTAAATCCTTTTAAAATTTATCCGTTCAAAACAGGCTGGTTTTAGAACCGGTTATCCGTGCATCAACAATATAAATATCGTTAAAATCCTAATAGAGCAGTCAGCTGAATATAAATCCCCCCTTTACTTAGCATTTATCGATTTCGCAAAAGCATTTGATGCGTTAAAGTGCGAAGTTATTTGGTCTGCATTTTCGGCTAGAGGTGTTCTGATAAAATAACTAATATTATTAAAAACATGTACGACGGGTCATACTTTCTTTCATTGACATCCACACTGCTTGGTTACCATATCTCTCACTAAGTCGCTCATATTATCTAGGGCACACAACAAGTATGTGCGAATAGTTGTTAAGTTAATAATTGGTATTATAACGATTATAACGATACTTTTTTAAACTCCAATTAATTATTTTATTTTTAAAACACTAAATCCTGTTATTACTTTATTTATAATAGAACAACCATTGAATTGAGAAATTGCTTAAACTTTCTATCTTCACGATTCGGAACTTCTAGAACCAATTAACGGGCAGGTGGATATCCAGAAAAAAGCATATGTTTTTTGATATTTATAATATTCATTATTTGCTTTCTAAAAAACTTCATATTGCTCTTTAGGACAATTTTATGTGTTCCATGCATTGACACTCTATCCTTCAGCGATTCTAACTTTGATGTGTCGATCTTTTCACTCATAGATTGTTCTAAAATTATATTACACGGGTGAGTCCCACTTATAAGTAGAACATTGCAAAAACAAAACAAAAATAATTACAATGTCAGTGTTTGAGTATTTGGTAGGGTTTTTGAAACATTTTTTCCAATATTTCCCCATTAAAGACATTTTACGTAAAATAATGAACTGCAGCAATAAAAATTCTTTTTATATTATTTTAATTAATTTAATTTTTGGCTGACCATAAAACTGTTTCAAGCATTGCCAAATACCCATCATCAGTGGTCTTGGAAATAGTTCTTGTACTTTTTTTTTTGAGACTGCAAGTACCAGGGATTAAACTCGTGCCCTGCCAAATTTAGGACCATATTAAAGAGTAAATATTAATTCGTATACTAGTACTTCAAGTGCACTTCAAGAGAATTATGATGTTGAACCAGTTCAAGTGTGATTGAACTCGTGCTTTTGGATCAAACACTTTTAGAGTCTGGATATAGAGTCTGGAGTCTGAGATACTCAATAATTTTCGGTTCCTAAAATATTTCAAAATTCTATTTCATTGTTTATTACTTAGTGATATTTTTCTGGATGATAATTAATATTAGCAACCGAAAACTAACAAATTTAAGATTTGTGAATTCACTAATTTGTTGGTATTTAATCCAAAACAACTCTTTGAAATAATATAGTGAGACATAAGTTTAGTCATCTACATTACAGATATAAAAAAATCAAAAATTTTAATTTTTTGCATTTAACATAGAAGATAGTTATATGGAACTCTTTGAGTTCCATATAAAAATTTGTAATTTTATAATTTTTTAATTACCATTATAGTGAAAACTTAAGATCCTGTACAATTGAGATTCCTTCAGTGAATATAAAATGTTTTTAAGTCTTTTTTGATAAACAAAAAGTAATTTTAATTTTAAGATATTGACAACCAAACATTCGATTTATTTTTTTTTTTGTTTGTTTTGTTTAATTATTTAAAATTTAAAATTTGTTATATTTTAATAGTAATTTCTTAATAGTATTAGGATTTTTGGTAGATAAAATATTTATATAACTATGTACTTGTTTTACATAATAAATATTTACTTAACGATAACCCAAAGTCTTGTATTTAGAGTATAGCCTTATACTTTGTTTATGTAATTTTTGTTCGCAAAGAGAGCTTAAAGTCAACTTAATTTAAATATGGTAGGATAACTTCTCTAATAACATGTCTATTAGTATGCCAAGTTAAATGATGTACAAATGGTTTAACTATAATTTTTAATTTATCATTTTCCTTAAGCGTTTTCAGTCCAATAGCATCGGTTGTGTATATTTCACGCTGGCTTAATGGTATGACATCTAAAGAGCCATTGTAATAAGCAAAATGACTAAAAAAATATTAGTTAGCAAATGATATATTTATCTACATATAATAATATAAGAACCTCGATTCCCATGGCGTAATAACACCATCGTTTGGGCCACCAATTAAAATCATTTGGTCAAGACGAATAAGAGCACTTTTAAAATCAGTTGAATTTGAATTTTTGATTTCATTATTTATTATTGGTAAAAAGACGCTGTATTCTAAATACATATCATATTTGTGAGGATCATTCCAGTAATTGCCAACTGATGTATGTTGTCCTACTTTAGAGTAAAATAATTCATAAGCAGTTTTCGCTACTAAGTCAGGAAAGATCAAGTGCAAAAAACTAGCTATAAAAAGAAAAAAAAAACAATTAGAAAATTGTTGTGAATTATATATGTATTAAAAATTAATATTACACTACTTACTTCCAAATTGTCCAGCTTGCGGTGAAGACAACGATATAAATGTTTTAACATTATGATTGGGTAACGATTGTATAGCAGCTCGTGCCAGCAAACCTCCTTGAGAATATCCTTAATGAAATAAATAGAAATGCTTTAAATTTCACAATTATATAAATAAAAATTTATGCTTATAGAGAGGCTAGTGTTAAAAGGCTAGTGTTTATTACATTGAGAACGAGAAAAAAAGTAGAAAACAGCATTATTCTTTTTGACAAAACTTATCGAATCTGTCCATATATCTTATGTTCTACAACTGCACTAAATCGCATTAAAAGAAAATCATTGTCTATTCCAAAATTATTGTCAATTCCTATTCAGAAAGATTAAATAAATAAACCAATGAAGAAAAAAAAAGTTTACCTAAAACTATTATGCCTTCCGGATGTATTTTACCAATTGTGTCAATGTAATCTCTTACTTCTTCCACCTGTCTCCAAGCACTCTCCAAACTGGACCAACCACTAAACTTATCGCAATTATACACTTTAGTACCGGGATGACGCTGATATGTATTCAAAAAAAAACAACAAAAAAACAATTAAATGAATTTCACAATATTAATTCATTGGTGCGTTACAAACGCAAAAACATAATTATATCAATCAATTACGTTAAAACCCTTTACCCTTGCCCTTGAACTCACCTCCTCAATTTCGCGTACTAATATAACCATGGACTCTGCACCAGACAAAATTCCATGTAATATCACAACAGGCTTATATGCCGCATTTATTTGTAAAAAATAAAATGCCAATATTAAAAAATAATTTGTTCTAAATTTCATTGCGACGCACAAATACTTCAACTTCCGCACATCAATAAAAATTTGAAATTGTATTCAATTGCAATCTTTTGTTTACGTTGTTGTTTACTTTGTTTTAAATATTGTGGTTATTGTTGTTGTTGTTGTCACTTCATGCATTTTCCTAGGCTCAATGAAATTTTGTTATTTGTAGAATCATACGATTTTCACGACAGGGCTGGCATCTATTGTTAAAAATTCAGATTATAGTGTTCGCAGTGAGGTTTAAACTATTAAAATAATATATAAAAAAATATAAAATAATAAGATTGTTTCAGCACCTACTTCATAGATACATGCTATAATATTAATATATAGCTATACAGATTATTTCAATTGTAACAATAATAACAAAACAACATGTTTAATAGGACCGTGTACGAGTTCGAGTAAATTGAGGTAAAGTAATTTACCATCAGTTTACTCGAACTAGCACACGGCCTTAAATTATAATAAATAATAATAATTATAATAAATATAAAACAATTTATTTAATAAAAAACAATTTATTTAAATCACAACCCTGTTTCTAAAATTAACGCGCATTGCTTTGACTGCACTCTGTTTCTATTATCAGCTGTTTTTGTTTAGTGCCAACATGACACTACACAGTTAGCAAATAAAAAGTAAATAATTATTATTAAATTACATTCCAATGAATGGTTTCCACATCAGTGCTACTTATAGTTGGAAATAATCTCTGATTATTATTTTGGTTTAACGATTTTTTACTATTTACTATTGTCAAAATGGATATGAAAGTACTTCTAAGTGGGGTGAATACCTTTACCAATGCTGGCATGGATAAAGCTTTATTGTTAATTACGGAGCGTGAGGTTTTTAAAATGTTTCATAATTTCATAAATCAATAATACAAATATTCTTTCATTTCAGCAAGAAATAAATAATAGCTTAGAAACTCTACTAGCCAAACAATGTCAAATAGAGGGAAAAATGAGTGGAATTGGTCGTTCTATGTCAACATTAAAAGCGCTTGCCAAAGACTCTGAAAAGTTAAATTCCAAAATAATATTTACAGCTGAATTAGCAGAATCAGTTAGTGCTAAAGTGCGTCGTTTGGATATGGCACGAACGCGAGCATCTGAATGCCAACAGCGTGTGCATGACCTCATTGATTTACAGCTTTGTAGTCAGGGAGTGATGACAGCCATACGTGATGAAGATTATGAAAAAGGTGCTGGTCACATTGGTCGTTTTCTGGCAATGGATCAAATTTTATTGCAGCGCACCGCTGATGACGTACAAGGCTCTGTAACATCTGTTAGTGATGCTGTAAAAACATTAGAAAACGCAACAATAAATATGCGAGAACTTGTTTCTCGTCGATTCCACGAAGCTGTCAACAAAGATGATTTTGCCTCCGCGGAACGGTTTGTGAAAATATTTCCTTTATTAGGCTGTCACCAAGAAGGTATTGAAAAATTTTCCAAATACATTTGCACAAAATTGGCGGCAAAGGCCCAAAAGGAATTGCGCAACTCTATGGACATAGCAAAAGCAGAAAAACGTTTAGCACTAGCGTACGCCGATTCATTTACAGTATTACTAGAAAATTTTGCACGAGTAATAGAGGTCAATCAACCAATCATCGAAGCATGTTACGGTTTAGGCTATTTAATGAACATGGTAGTCATATTACAAAGGGAATGCGATGTAGAAGTTAAAAACTTAGTGTTAGAGTTTAATAAAAATCGCCAAATCTCCAGACGTACGCAGCAAATAAATGAAATTCAACGTACAATGATGTCTAGTAGTAGTGGAATACAAGCCTTAGGTCATTATCGAAAACCGTCAGGTGGTTCAGTAGATAAACTAAATCCGAAGGATGTTGATACCATTATTGCAGAAATCACTGTAATACACTCAAGGGCAGAATTGTATTTCCGTTTTATTCGTCGTAAAGTTATAGTAAGTAACTAATGCAACTTAGAACTTGATCTTTTGGTAAATAATTGTTTACAGGCTGATATTGAAGCTAGTACTAGTGACAAATCTGAACAAAAGGCAAAAATTGATAAATTTGAGAATATAATAACCAAATCAGACTCTAGTAGGCAAATGCAAGAACTACTTGCCACTTATTTGTTATTTGAAAGGTATTTTCACTTATTTAAGCATAAATTTGATGTATATATTAGTTGAATTATTTTCAGGTATTTTATGGAGGAAAGTGTTTTAAAAGCTATTGCCCTCGATACTTATGAATTAGGTCAACAATGTTCTTCAATGGTCGATGATATATTTTTCCTGCTACGAAAATGTATACGACGCTCATTGAAAACTCAATCTATTAATGGGGTTTGTGCGGTGATTAATAATGCTGCTACTTGTTTAGATGGAGACTTTGTAAACGCTCTGAAAGCACCATTAAAAGTCGGTTATCCCTCTGGTTATATAGATTTAGCGCAAGCGTACAATGCTATTCAAAGCTCACTGCAGCAAGGTAAGCTGCAGTCAAATGATACTGACAAAGCACGCAATAATTTCATTGTACAATTGAATAACGCTGATATTTCTACGATATATATTGAAACACTTTGGAAGACAATGGAAAATGAGATAAATGCTGCCTTTCCGGGTATAACAGCTGTCGAACGTCAAATTATTGATAGTTGCATTTCAGAATTGAAAACAGTCCGCGATACCTTAAAAGCATGCGTCGATTTTGGTATGCAACAGTTGCGTTCAAGCGCAATTAAACCACGTCTTAATCCTTGGATAGATCAATTTTTAAACTATAATCATTATTTGACTGAGGTAAGGTAATATAATAAAATCATTTTTTTATGACTATTATTTGCGTACTTGTATATAAATATTTTTTTTTTAATAGGAAGAACTCGCTGCTTACGAAGCTGGTGAAACTTTTGTGCAGTATTTAATAGTGCAAATTGATGGACTTTTTAATTTATTCAAAAACTCTTTAAGCCCAAGAAATTATGATGCTTTAGTTAGCATTCTAGCGACAGAAGTTACATCACGTTTGGAACGTGCAATTAAAAAGACAACATTCAATAGGGTATATATATTACTACTCGTATTTATTAATATCATTTACCATCGATTATGGTTGGCAATTGTTGTACTTTTTTATTGGTATCCATCATTTGTAATTTATATTAATTTATATATAAAAAAATTTGAGTTATACAAGTTAAACAAATGAAATTTAACAAAATTATAATTACTTGATTTACAGCTTGGAGGTCTTGTTTTAGACCAAGAAGTTCGAGCATTGGGCACATATTTAACAAGTGCTACCTCCTGGTCTGTGCGCGATAAAATGACACGTCTTACTCAAATAGCTACAATATTAAATTTAGAAAAAGTATCAGAACTTACTGATTACTGGAATCCAGAAGTTAGCAGTGATATGCCATCCTGGCATTTAACATCAAACGAAATCAGAAGCATTTTGACTTTACGGTGAGTAATACTTAATTGTTAGTTTTAAATTATAAAAATTTATATTAATTGTTTTTATTAATAGTACTGATTTTCGCATGGAGGACATCAAACGTGTACAAATCTAAAGTTTGGATTTTAAAAGAAATTTTATTAATATTTACAAAATGCGTATTCGTTATTTTTTGTGATTTTATGAGTAATTAAATTTTGATTATTTTTGCATTTTAAAAGTAAAAATAATAATAATGTTTAAAGAAGATATCTATCAACTTTCAAATAGGCTATTAAACCCTTATAAATACGTATTAAGTAAATGACGTTTAAAGTGTAATATATGCTATGAGTTTTTTTATATTAATAATAGTACTGTATGCAAAATTTATGTCAAGACTATTAAGAATTTTTCACTGAAAATATGTAAATGTACAAATACAGCCCGCTTAACTCCTTATCTGTTTATCTTAAACATAACCACACAATAACAATAAAAACCGAACATTGAAATGCTAATAAATCAAGTTATTTAAATCAAATTACAATACTAAAAATTCGAACTATATTTTAAAATCAATAATAACCGTTAAAAGAGGAACCTGTATAGAAGTTTTTTATAATAAAATATTACATTTTATGGAAATTTATTTACTAATAAATATCGCTTAGTTAAATTTATTTTAACAATAAAAGTAAAATTGAATAATTATTATTTAATTAAATTTTATATAACATACTTTACCAATTAGTAGAATATATTTCTTTGTATTTTAAACTAAAGAAAACTTGTTTTTGTTAATATTTTTTTTTAGAAATTACATATAATCTTTAATCCTGTGTGTGTCTTTGATGGCCTAACGACAAGTTAAAAACTAATAAATCTCTAAATTAATTACAGTTAAACTGTGAATTCTTTAGATATGAATATAAACTAGAATAAAACTGTATTATACTGCTGCGACTATAACAGAAAAGAAGATGAAACCAACAATGAAAGTTAGCTATATTGCCAAATACAAATATTTTAAATAAAACCAAAATATTTTATTATATATGTACACATAATGCTTTTTTTTTTGTTTTTAACATTAATTTATTATTCATTTTCACACGAAAATTGTAACGCATTCATTATTTAATATTAATAAGCAAAAATTAAAAGAAGTTATTATGAGTTTAATAATACTATAATTTCACTCTATACAGTTATAATTTTTAATAACAGTTTAATTTAAAAGATTAACAAAACAATATCTTAAAATAAAAGTAACATTAATAGAGAGATTAATGAGATTATATTTATGAAATATTTCAGTGCGAGATACATTATTGTTGTTTTGTATCGTAATATATATCATCATCTTCACTTGTCGGTGTGGAGTAATGGTCATTTGGTTCATTTTGGAAAACATTTCTCAAGCTATACCAGTGATTAAAGTCCAGCCTAGTTATTAGTTGTTTGAATGGCACATTATTTGATGGTGTGTGTAATTTCGATATATTATCAAGAAGTTTCTCAATTTTATCATAAAATCTAAATAGAAATAAATAAAACATGTGTTAATACCTTAAAATTTATAAATCAAAATATTTAGATTATTACGACATAATTTATTTATATGTATAAGATAATAAGCAAGTTAAGTTAAAAATATTTTCCAATATAATAGAGATGGGAATAAATAATATATAAATCTCTAAGGCAATATTTATATTAAAATCTTTTAAGCAGATAAATTTCATATCATTTTCTGTTCGAATGAATATTCTAATGGTTGGTTGCAAATCAAATCCCGGTTCCAAAAATAGTACTACATAAACCATTAATCTTCTGTTTGAAATGTTCGGTTTACCAAAAATGTTATATTTATTCATATTATTAACAAATTTTTGGAAGATACTTAAAAGAACGGCATATATTCTATTGCACTTCACTATAACAGAATCGTCATCTATAAGATTCTGTGGAAATAATAATACATTTTACTTGTGAATGCCCGGCTTTGGCGTCTAGAAGATTAACATTCTTAGAAAGATACTTCTTTGATAGTTTATCAGACTGTACAGACGAAAGACCTATTAAATTATCTAAATTCGGGGAGATGGATTTAGTCTTTACTCTTCTATACTAAGGTTGTTGTGAGGAATGTGATATAGCAAAACGGCAAAAAATTGCTAATTGAGGTACATGGAAGTTATCTAATGATCTGCCACTGAAACCAACCAACCAAGATTCTACAACATAAGAAAAACCATGCATATAAGAAAATATGACTTAAATATAATGTTAAGTATAAGAAATTCAGCTGTGTAAAACGTTAAAGAAATCTTTCAAAATTTTTAAATCATACTCCAGATTGCCACATTCAAGACTCTATTTAGGAGTACACATTTCAATAGCTAAAACCCATAAGCTCACAAAGAAACGAACGTTTGAAAAAACAAAATTTAATGTTTACTGTTGTGGACAAGACTTTAGAACACCCATTCATATCCAAACTCATGTATTCGTCTTGTAAATCATTTCATGTCATCTGTCCCAGCGGGTTACCATAACAACAATAACAACTTGTAATATAAACGAAAACGAAAATAAGTACACGACTAATTTCACACTAGCATAGTGATCACCTTAACATCAGGAAAATATTACTTTAAATAAAAAAAATTTTACAGATTAAGTACGGCTCAAATATATTTTCAGATCGAACTTAATATTAGCCCATCCCTATTTTTCATATATTTCTCCTTTATTCCTTCTTCAAGCTTCTTTCATAAATTAAGTTCTCAATCCTATTTTTCATTTTTTCATATGATTACCCAAGTATCGCAACGACAAAAAATTTAATAACAAGGAAGATGCGTTAAATAAAATTTTAAAATTGATTTAAAATATGGAATAAATGGCATTGAAATGATCACATTGCTTTTACATTAATAGTAACAATTTTTTGTCTTAATTTTGGCCTTTACAGCATTGAAATTGTTGGCCTTAAAGGCAGTAGAAATATGATATATAGCTACTAGTTCTATTTTAATGGAAAAAAAAAATTTTCGTAAAATTTCACAACAATGTACTCACCGATCTTTTAAATTTTCAATTAAGTCATCATCAATTTCGATAAGTTCATCAACACTCTCAATATGATCACAAAAATCATGACAAACCAAAAACATATCACTTAAAACATCATTAACTGGATTACCTATACATATACTTGACTGATATATGGTGGATTTTCTAGTCTAAAATAATAATCAAAAAAAAATAAGAAAATAATATGTATTCAAATAAAAATTTTTTATTACTTACATCTTCCACTTGTAGAAAACAAAGTGATAGTACCTTCATTTGAAAAACAGTTTGTGCTCTATTAATTTCCTCAAAATCGCGTTTGTTCTCAATCGAACTGAGAAAGATATTATACTGACCTTTTGAATAAATTTGAATAATAAATTTGATTTAATAAAAGAATTAATTTCAACAAACTTTCTAGGACATCCACTTGTATATAATATTGTAAAGTATTTATAAAAAATGTTAACTGGTAACATAGATGCAATACTCTTGAATCCACTTTTTGTATGCCCATATTTTTTTGGTTAATTTTCTGCCATACCATTTGCAATTCATATTGAATTTTTTTTATTGTAAGCAAGAAACGATATATTATATTGTAGTGACTAATCACTTTTGGGGAGAATATTAAATGAAGTGGCCAGACTATTTTGAAGTTAAACTTGAGATATTGCGGATAGTAGAATGTATTCAGTTCATCAGAATCTAGATAACAGTCAATGACGGATACACTGAACTTTTCCTGAAATTCAAATGCACCTATAATACTGCAGGCCATCTAAAAATGACAAAGAAGAATATGTTTATAGAATTTTAAAAACTCAATAATATTAAAAATATTATTCTTTTCTTACATCATAGGCCCTAATTATGTCACGTAGCCAGCTCTTGGATTCCAATTGTGTTTCTGTCGGTTTAACCTTATATGATTGACGTATATATTCTAAATGCAATTCTCCGCGTCCCATTAAAAAGAAATCTTTAACTAGTGTCAACTGCCTCATGAAATTAACCTCTGTTATAGCTAGTTCAGCAAATCGAGTGCAAACATAACTTTTCATATCTTCAATTACTTCTTCATAATCTGATACTTTGAATTCCTTTTTATCCAGCAATGAATAGATTTTGTTGTAATATATATACTCTTTTCCATTCCATAAAGTACCAATGTCTGATGTATGGCTTTGAGTACCTGCTGTATTCGATTGATTTATTAATTCTACTTCAACATCATCCATTCTAAATATTAGTACGGTTTTTCCTATGAATAATACTTTTTCTGCCCAACTTGAGCCAAAACATGGTGGCACAAGTTCATAGCATACATCCCATTGCCAAATCTCCTCATCAGATTGACTCGATTCCTATAAGTATTATAATAAAATATATATTTAAAAACAAAAATAAAAGGATGTTATTATAAAAAAAAATAATATTTATGAAATATGTAAGTGCTTCACCAAACAACTTAATAAATTGAATTACTAAAGCAACATCTTAGATATGAGCCTGATCCTAGAATGCGTTTTAAATTGAAACGCAAGAAATTCAAAAATAAAATTTCTTTTTTAAAAATCAAATAAATTAATGTTTTACCTCTGATGAAGTTCCAGATTTTACACTACTAGTATAACTGATATATTGACTAGGTTCCGCACGCCGTTGTATGAAATATTCCTCATAATAATCATCGGTTTTACCGTAAAGTGTCCAATTGGCCAAATGTTTGAGAAAAACTCTGATCACACTTGTGTGAATGCTAATTTTATATATACATATATATATAATTATATCAAATTTTAAAATTGTTTAATAAACCACAAAATTTACCTACTAATAGCCAAATCTAATCTACAGTCACCATTTTGTATATATTGATAGAGAAGCTGCATAAGAGGACAACCATGTATTTTCCGCGAAAGGATAGTATGGGTCAACTTTTGTAAAAAGAAAAATAACGGTTCATATTCTTGCATTTTAGAGTAAACGTGCAGTAAGGAATTATACGAATTCTCTAAGTTTAGTTGTTCCAATTCAATTATAACTTTATAAAATTCATCCAGCAATAACTCCAGACCATCAGCAAAGGATTTAATATAGTTACCATGCATTAACTCATCCTCTATTAACGACATAAAATGAAAATAAGTCTTTAATTGATTTATGCATATACAAAATTTATTTATTTACTTACCTGCAGATCTGGCCATTGAATCGGCATGACTATCACTTTTACCACATGCTTGTACAAAAGTGCCTATCTCACGCAAACACTTAATAAATCGTATAACCTTATTAAATAAGTTTTCCTCTAATGGATGAATGTGGTTAATACTTTGCCTGAGTGACTGTTCTGGACGTGAGAAACATTTATAGTACTTAATTGTATATAATACTTACCATTAAATCTTCAATTGGACATTTTTTGCTGCCACTGTTCAAGCAGATAATCAACAAGTCGTGAATCATTGTTTATAATTAATATATAAAAATGATTTTGGAAATGTTTGAGTTTTCTGTATTTAAATATTCTTAGTAAACAACAAAAACCGCTTAGTTTCAAACAACACAGTTTATAAACAATTTTTGTATCAGTTGTTTTCTGCCATCATTCGCTGCAGCAGCATATGTGCTTATGTCAAACTGATTTGAATGCTCGTTACCCGCGCTGGCTATGTTGCAATTTCTTTTCGTATTCTTGCTTTTCACTGATATATTCTACTTGATTGTGTATTTTAGTTTTGGTGCTACTATTAATTTTGTAATATCTACTAATACGAACTATCAAATCTAAACAAACACAAAAAATTTATAATTTTATGGCTATATGACATATAAATAATATTTCATAACATTAGTTAAAATAAAAAAATTTCTCGTTAATACAAACCACCCTAGGAATACACTTATCAAGTTATTCAGAGCATACTGTACATAATTTTTAAACAACTTTTAAGCTAAAATTATGACTAATATTTATATATAAAGTTTCTGCATAATATGGCATTTACACTGGCCTCAAATGACTCGTTTCAAATGCGTCACTTAAAAGTATTTACATTTGTTGTAATTCATTTGTTCTCATTTCAAACAGCTGATTTTTCAACTTAAATATGTGTTTCTTTTATTTCTTAATAAAATAACACTTTTTAACCTTGTCAGAACTCAATTAATTCCTAACTAGATTATAAAATTGATCTTAAAATATTAGCGAAGATTTCATATTTTATACTGTGGCCTGCAATATTTATGCTAACAAATTGTTTCTATTACTATTACACAACAGTTTCAAATCGATAATTTTTTCGCTAAATTAATTTTCCAATATATAATACACGCCAATAATACACTCAAATATTAACATTGCTTTACTATGTCTAATTTTATTCCAGTCAGATTTTACATGACAAATTTAGCTTTTCGGGCCATGCTTGTTTTGATTTTAGGTGATTGATTCGTTGTTTCCAATTTAAGTAACAAAATTAAAGTCGATTTCGGAGTATTTGTGCAATTACGCTAGTATAAACACTTAATTCTAATTACGTACATATATCTAACTGACGATATATAATTGTTAAACAGTTTCGAAAATAATTTTAATATAAATGCAATACCAGATTTATGTTTAAATTTAAATTTATCTTTAAATTTGCACTTCTATTTCATTTAAAAATTAAAATTATATTTTGTTTAAAAAAATGGGCCAAATAAGAATAAAAGTCTTTCAAAATTTTGTTCTTTAATTTTTGTACATTCCTTTCAACATTTTCTGTTTTATTTCGAAACCATTTAACATTAAAGTTAAAAACGGCAAGTACACTCTATCTACTGAATACTTTTAATACTGAATAATTAATTTTTGTGAGTAATATGTAACGATTAAAAAGTTAAAATCATTTAAGCGCCATCAATGAAGTCGCATAATAATGTACAATATTTGTATTATGTGTCCAGCCAGCTGGACCATAAGTACGCAATGTTTATTGCGTATTATTGTCTGCTTATTTTTATAGATAACAGTTATCATTAATTTTAATGAAACGTACTAAATTGTATATATAATTCATATAAAATTCTGAGATGTGATATAACTGCTTTGATAATCTGAAGTTGAAAATATCTAAACGACAAATATTAATTTTGAAATGTTAAAATAAAATACTTTTCAAATTGTTATCAACAGATAACTGGCCCTCAAAGCTCAAAACAATTTTTTTAATTTTTACGTAGAGCTTAAAAGCGATATTTCTTATTAATAGTACATTCACACTGTCTAATTCAGAGACTTGATCATTTATATTTATGAGTGAACGTTCACATTATAATGAGATCATATATACAGCTGATAAAACTTTTATGAACTTTCTGAAACTTTTATAAACTTCTATTAGGCAGTGTGCGAGTTAAAGTAAATTGATGGTAAATAGAGGGAAATAGTAAATTATATCGGTATGGCAGCCAATGTTAGTATTTACCAGAATTTCGAATAGGGTAAATTAAATAAAAATAAAGTAAATTAGGTGTTACCATTGTGAAAATTTTATAAGGTGGATAATATATAAATATGAAAACTTTTAACCAAAAATAATAAATAAGTGCAATAAATAAACATTTACATAAGTGCAATGAAAAAAATTTCTAGGAAATTTCAATTCACTTTATCTCAATTTACTCGAACTCGCACATGGCCTTAGAGTGTAATATGGCGTTTGTATTGTGAGATTAAAATTAGATTAAAGCAATAATCAAGATTGATGTATTAATCTCGTTGTTTAATCTCATATATCCCATGCAAAAGTTGATCTCCTTTTGATTTAGATTAATTTTTAATCTCCTTAAAAATGTGTATCTCTGCAAATGGCTTAATATCGTAGATTTTTCTACGATCTAAGAAGAATTGAAAAAGATATGTCAAAATCTATTTAAAACAAATACTGAAAATTTACCGAAGTAAGTAAATGCCGAAGTGAGTAAATTTTCAATAAATTTGTTCTATAAAAGTCTTATAACTAAAATTTGTTAAATTATTGTTATAAAACTATTTATTAAATTAATATTACAATTTATTGTACAAAATTGTAATAATGCTTTGTTTACAGAAATTTATCAAACACATGAAACAAAACACAACAAGAGAAAAGTCAAAATTAATCTCATATGTATAATGTAAACGGTGGTGATTAAAAATGCACATTAACTTAATGTCGTTCTCTTAATCTCACAATGTAAGCGTAGTATTTACATACATAATACTGCCTCAAAAAATTATAATATGGCAACTTTGATTACAAATTTTAATAAAAGTTAAAACAAATTTCAAAATTAGGAAAATGATGAACAAAAATGCAGAACTGAATGTATTTCTAATGCATCAATTAAAAATTTGTTAAATAATAATAAATTTAAAGTTAGAATAGAGAAATTAACAAGCATTTGAGAAGTGTTCCTATAATTTATACTAACATATAAATCTTAAAAGTCAAATTTTTCTATTCTATTCGCTGTTTCTTAAGCAAAAATTGCTGATTTATGTAAAATAGACTGGAGTCAACATTTATTTAAATCCAAGTAAATGAAACAAAATATTATGAACATAATTTAGAAACTATGTTTTATTTTGAGATTCCCGGCTGGCAACTCTAAAACTTAACATAAGACAAGTGTCAAAAACGCGGGATTTTGCAAGAAATTTGTGGCCGGCGTTATAATGTGAAATAGCTGTTTTGGTTAATATATAATAGGAATTAGTCGTATATATTTTTTTGTTAATATTTGAATTACTATCAAGACTTATAAGTAAAGAAACTTTGTAAATATGAATCGATCGCTCGCATCATCATCACCAGATTATCTGGATGCTGCTGGCAACATGTTAGAAAAAATGGATATTAAGGACTTAGCAGCACCAACTTTACTTGATGTAATATTCATTAAAACTGTCTAAAAAACAATTATTGATTTTCGCTTAACATGTATAGGTGACGAAGATTGCACAGCATGGAATGGCTACTGCAAGTGGTTTAAGCGATTTTGAATATCAAAGTTTGGCAAACCTGGCAGGAGGGCATAAACAATTAACACAAGTAAATAATGTTACAAAAATTCCGATTCCTAACGAAATATTGGATCACTTCAAACGTATGTATTAAAACATAATAATATCGAATAGTGTCAATATCTTTTACTTTAGATGTAAAATGTCAATGCATGATGGGTCTATTTCCTGAGATAGGACGAGCTTGGCTAACCATTGATTCTGAATTATATGTAAAATAATTATTTGTGTGTAAATATAACAATTTATAAAAAATTCTTTAAAATATTAGATATGGTCCTATGAACACACAAAGGATGTTGCTTATTATGATGGTCTTAACAGTACAATCGTGAGCGTTGGTCTTGTAAAACCAAAGCCTAACATATTTATAGCAGACGTTAAATATTTGCTTATACTTACAACCCCCACGGAAATTTTGGTTTTAGGTATTTATTTTCATTCTTATTTTGCTAATGTTTCGTTATATACAAATATTATTTAAAGGTGTCACTTTTGGAGATAGTGCTACAAGATATGCTTCGCCAGCAAGAATTAATTCGAATCTACCAAAAACTGAGGAAATACAATTGCTCAGTAAACCAATTTTCCACTTAGATTCTGAGAATGTGGCTATTAATGTTGTAGAGGGCACCGAAAATGGACGAATATTTCTTGGTGGGCGGGATGGGTATTTGTATGAGTTAATATATCAAGCTGAATCCAATTGGTTTGGGAAACGTTGTAGGATAGTTAACGTATCGCAAAGTGTTATGGCTTATATGGTACCCAACTTCCTAAAAGTGCTGACGGTATGTTATTATTATTTTTCAGAGCTTTATTGTTATAGTAAAATTATATCACTAATATTTTTATTACTATGCATTTACAAAATTATATATATATATATATTATACTAGACTAAGTGTGATTTTGAAGTATTATATTTATTATTTTTTTTTTTTTTTGTATAACAGCCAAATGATCCTGTAGTTCAAATTGCTATTGACGATACACGGAACCTTTTATATATGTTGACAGAAAAAGGAACAATTGAAGCATATGAATATGGCTCAGAACCGAATGCTATTAGACGTTTTGCAAAAGTTTCACAACATACAATTGCACAACTAGCTGGAAACATAGCGAAGTAATAGTTTTCGTTTGTTTGATTTAAATTTCATTTTTACAGTATATTTTCATTTAGGACGGTGGAATCTGATATATTTAAACCTATAGCAAGACTCTGTGTATTAACTTATAATGATTGTCCCGCCATGAATTTAGTTTTGATCACAGAAACTGGTGCGCGTCTATTTTTTTCTGTAAACCAACAGTGCCTCCAAGTAAATGTGCAAGATCAAAACTCTCCAGCAAAACCAAATGTGTCTTCTTTGACAATGCTGCAAACAACTCATATATCACCTACTAAACGAAGCCCTAGCCCAACAAAATTAGTTTCTAGTAGCACAACAGCGCACGGTAGACCTGCGTTGGGACTTTATTTAGTGCATGTGCGTTTACCGCCAGGATATACACCAAATACAACGATCATTAAACCAAAACTCGTGCATGCTGCACATTATAGTGAAGGAAATTTGCTACTGGTGTCTACTACACAACAGAATCAAGATTTATTATGGACCGTAAGTTCTGCACCATTCCTAAATCGTCCATTTTTTGCCGAAGCGATTGAAATTGTCGCTATGGAAGGTGTGATATGGAAAATAGCAAATATACCAACTAGATCAAATGTGAATTCTGTTTTGCGTAAATCTCAACAGCCTAGTAGAATGGTGCTACTTTCAAATCAAGGAGCGCATCTTATTGAATTGTTAAAGTCTGCAGATATTTTGCAACAATTACTAACAGCATATCGTGGGCCGCATCATACGTGCATTAAATCATTTTTTCAAGTAAGCCAAATATCTATTTAGCTGTGTTTCATGATATTTAATTAGCATTTTTAAGGCGCAAACTGATATTGAAGCATGTATAACATGTTTAATACTAGCTACATCTGAACAGTACCGCGGCTCTGAAATTGCGATGTGGGCTACACAGGCTTTTCTACTTTATGGTGGTGATCCTACATATCAAAGACGACTACAAGCACCTCATAATGGTAACATTGACGGCGCGCATCAACAAATGGTTATGTCCACACCCATTCCAAATCAACCAATGGCTTCGTTTAGCCATGTAGGTTCGCAAACGCATTTGCAAATGTCACAATATCCACTAAGTCCAGGTAAGTGAAATAATTTATTGCAATTCTCCAGTAAATAGCAGACATTGCAAAATCAAAAAATGGTAATAAATTCGCCACTTTGTGCCAAAAAGCACTGCATACTAAATCCCAATTGACTTGCTGAAATTTCTGTAGGTTTTGCTACAAGTTTAGCGTCATTAATTAAGAAAAAGGCAGTTTTTATTGCACAATTTGTATAACAGTTTAACAGATATTCGAACATCTCAAATATGCACATTCGAAGAAGTTGCACATAAATTTCCCATTTTTTTTTGAAATGCTTATAGTTTTAAAACACCATTCTTGAATCTAAGCTACAGCAATTAGAAAGCCAAAACAAGCTAGTGCTTTGGTTGATGCTTGGTTAAGAAGGAAATAATTAATTGTAAACGGTCCATATCAATAATTTAATTTTGTGGATCAAAGCTTTATTAAGAAAAAAATTGATTCGCAACTCTGATCCTCGCAGCAGCCGCCAGATAACCGCCAGGCTACAGAACTAGTTCGCCATCACACAACTGTAAGGCATTCATCTTTAAAAGAACACAGCTAAGATAACCCTTTGAATAAAATAACATGGAATATTTTAAAATTAAATAAATAGGCTTAAGCTTAAAGAAATTCGAATTAAGAATATTCAATGGCACTGAATGTGGTTTGTCCGAAATTTTTTATTTCGTGGCTTTATCGAAGATGTTTTATAAAAGCTAGTCTATATATATAAGGAGGAGCATAGCGCAGATGCAGCCGCAACAAACATATTCCACTCGGTAGGATTGTTGGCTAGTAGCTCCAACTCTCCCCAGGTTTTCCGCATGTGTCCCTTTATCTATCTTCAGCCTAATTGCCAGTAACTAATCCTATCTGTATATAAGAAAGACAGTTCGTTATAGTAAAAAATGAAACAATAACACAAGAAAAAGTGCGATTTTCCGAACAGCTCACGGTATATCAGTAATTTGCATATATAGCTATAGATAGATTTATAGATTTATTATATATATTTTATCTACATTTGATGAATTAATTATATATATATATATATATTTATTTTTTTTTTCAGTAAATCCGTTAACACTAAATGCGACTTATAATAATAGCAATGATTCAACTAATATAATATTTTCTGCTAAACATGACAGTCTTTATATATATGCAGCAAGATCACTTCGGCCTGTCCTAAAGAAACGGTGCGTTGATAGTGATTTATCTAGCACGGTAAATCTTGAGGATTGCACGATGGTACTCGAGGATTTGAATGCATTAAAAATATTTTTAGAAACAACATCCATAAATGATTTATATTGTAATTAAAAATGTAATAGAAATGTTAGATAAAAAAAATTTAAATCTCTATAATTATTTTTAGGTAATACAACATTTGGTTTTAGTAATCAAGGCATAATTCAAAATGGTTACAATCAAATGATGCATACACCAAGTTTTCAAAATCAGAACGAACAGAGATCCGTAGCTGAACATCTACAGTTGGAAGAAAAACGATCGGTCACCGCATTAGTTCATTTTATAAGTAAGTTAACAATTAAAAAAATAGCACGTTATAGAAAGATTATTCTGAATAAAAATACCTTGGTATATTTTAAGGGCACGCTTGTGAAGTTGTGGCATTGTGGAAAGTCTTATGCGAAAATCCATTTGTCCAATTAGCTGATTATCTTAATCCAGAACAGAAAACTATCTTAACATCTTGCACGTTCTACGACCTGATATTATCACGTGGAGAGATTTGTGGTCAACTAATAATTGCTTTGGTAAATTCGTATATTAAGGACCAAGCATGTGTTGGTAACATATCGGCAAAGCTGCGTGAAGTGTGTCCGACTTTATATCGACATGAAGATGCCGTTTCATTCAAAGCCACGGAAATGATGATGGAAGCTAAAAATTGCATTTATCCGCAGCAAAAAATGCAGATAATGCAAAATGCATTAAATTTATGCAAGGAAACTGCACCTAATATACCTTTGCACGCCATATGCCAACAGGTGAATATATATATAAAGAAAATTTATATATATTAAAAATATTAGAAAAAAAATACATATATATCTTAATTTGTTAAAAACTTAATTTTAATAATCCAAATTATAATAAATTAAAACAACAATTCCTTTTATAACTAAAATAATTACTTATTACCTATAAAAAAATATGTATTAATAGATTATTTTACAAAACGTAATATTATTTTTTGAAAAACTATTATAATTATTAATTATTTTAATTTTAATATTGTTTTTTATATTTTATTTTAAAACGTTCATATATAAAAAGCATGCATAATATTAAAGATGAATAACTATATATAGATTAATGAATAATGATTAACTATATCATTCCATAATACGTTGAAATGATAACTATATACTTGAATATGAGTTTAGACAATTTTTTGTTGCTGCTTTTTTTCCAAAAAAATTTTTGAAATAACTGTTATTTTCGGTTCCCGTATTTAATTGTTATTTTTTTAGTGGTAGCAATAATATTACTATTTAATATTATTATTTTCTATCAATCTTGTTTATTATATATTACTATTATTATATTTTATTATTATTATATTTTATTATTATATTTTATTATTATTATATTTTATTATTATTATATTTTATTATTATTATATTTTATTATTATTATATTTTATTATTATTATATTTTATTATTTTTTATTATTTATTATTATTTATTATTATTTTATTATTATTTTATTATTATTTTATTATTATTTATTATTATTATTTTATTATTATTTATCATTATTTTATTAAATTTAGAGGGATTTTGAATAGCAAAGAAAGAAATAAAGAACAAACACAATTATTATTTATTATTATTTTATTATTATTTATTATTATTTTATCATTATTTATTATTATTTTATTATTATTTTATTATTATTTATTATTATTTTATTATTACTTTATTATTATTTTATATATTAATATATATATATATATATAATTTATATTATGTGTTTATTTATATTATATATATATATATTTTATTTTATTATATCTTCATTATTATTATATTTTATTATTATTATATTTTATTATTATTATATTTCATTATTATTATATTTTATTATTATTATATTTTATTATTATTATATTTTATTATTATTATATTTTATTATTATTATATTATATTAGTATTATATTTTATTATTATTATATTTTATTATTATTATATTAATATTATTATTGTATTTTATTATTATTATATTTTATTATTATTATATTTCATTATTTTTATATTTTATTATTATATTTTAATATTATTATATATTATTATTATTACATATTATTATTATTATATTTTATTATTATTATTTCCAATTATTATTATTATTTCCAATTATTATTATTATTTATTATTATTATTTATTATTATTCTTTATTACTATTATTATTTTTTTTTTATTTTTTATTATTATTATCTATTACTATTATTATTTTTTATTATTATTATTTATTACTATTATTATTTTTTTTTTATTTTTTATTATTATTATCTATTCCTATTATTATTTTTTATTATTATTACTATTATTATTACTCATTATTATTTTTTTTTATTATTGTTATTATTTTTTATTATTACTGTTTTTTATTATATTTTATTATTACTATTTTTTATTATATTTTATTATTATTTTTTATTATTATTTTATTTAATTATTATTATTATTTATTATTATCAATTATTTTTTTATTACCAACTTATCTTTTCAATATAAATGTGTATAATTTAAGTTTTTACTACGAAAAAATATTAATTTTTTTTATTTATTTTTTTTTTTAAGTTTGTTTCAGCGAGATTTTTTGATGGAGTTATCGATCTATCATTCACCTGTGCCACAAAATGTGATCCTGAAGAATATGGTATACATTTTTATAAGAATGATGAACCAGCTGATGATAATGAGGGTTATACGTATTTTGCAAAAAGGTAAAACAATTTTTTTTTTATTATTATCCTATGTGTTTGTTTAAGAATAGATTGAATAATAATCCGAAATACATCCATTCAAAAATTCTCAACCTCATATGTAAGCTATCATTAACTAAAGCAAATTAATCAGTTATTGAAACTGTTATAATTATAAACAGATCTTGATAATATTTTTAAATATCAAGGAAATACAAACTCAACAAAAAACATTAATATTATGTATTTCGAGGTAATAAAAATTCAACACCAAAATTCAATGGAGAGGATTAAGGGTAAAGTCAGATAATGACTACGAGCTAAAAACACTAGCTTTATATTGTTAGCTCTATATTGTTTTAAATCATATTTTTTCTTTTAATGTGTTAATTGTGCAAATTAAATAAAAATTTCATATTACATTGACTTCTCAGAAAACTATAAAATTAACATTAATTAATGCAGACAAACATATAACAGTTGATATCGACTACAAAGTAATCCCCTCAAAGTGCAGTCATAGAGTCAGTACTCAACTCACCTTAAATGTGTACTTTAGACAATGAAAAGAAAATAATTATTAAAATGACAATACTAAATGTTGAACAAAGTAGAATAGTTGAAAACTACATTTCCGTTGGATTTGTGAATTTCTGTAGAAAATCTCTATATAAACTTAAAGTTAAATCTTTTAAAATAATAGTATTGTTAGATTTCAGAAATTTATAACCATTTTTAATATTAGATATATAGCTAATGATTATAAACATATATTTTAAGAATAAATTGCTACAAAGAAGTACGTGAAATGTTGGAAAAACTTTATGAAGATCAAGGTGGCACCTTTAAAGGTATAGAAGAAAAAGAAGATGGCACACTAATAACTGACGAAATTTCAAAGATTGTAAATCAATCGATACATATAAAAGATCCGCTATTACATATCACAATCTATGAATGGCTTATGTCTCATGACTTGACATCAGTGTTATTATCACTAATGGAACCATCTTTAGGAGACTACTTACGACGGAATGTATTGCGTTTTCCTGATAACTATAAAGTAATCGATTTATTATGGAAATACTATGAAAAGAATAAACATCATGCCCAGGCGGCAAAAATTCTGGACAATTTGGCATCCATGGAAACTGATGCTATACCTCTAGATAAAAGAATTGAATATCTGGCACGTGCTGTCATGTGTATGCGAAATGACACTATAGGATACTCAATGCAGAACGGTTTGCTGTTGAAAGACGTAGAGGATAGGGTAAATATAAATATTATCATTGTAAAGTAGACTGTGTTCGAAATATAATTTTTATTTTTAAATTTTCTTAAAATTATTGAAACCATTTTGTGAAACTTAATTTATTTTTAATTAATTTTAATTTATGTAGAATATTTTTTTATATCATTTTGTTTTAAATTAATTTTTAGATGGACATAGCACGAGTACAAAAATTCATTCTTAATTCTATTTCTGCAATTACACCTCAAACCACCGTAACTGACAGAGCTATTCAAGATCTGAATAATAAACTTTTTGACATAACTGATCTCTATCAACAATTTGCAGAACCATTTGAGCTGTGGGAGTGCAAGCTCACCATACTCAATTGCTCACACCACAACGATACATTGTTAATAGAGTCCGTATGGCAAAAGATTATCAGCAATACCATACAAGGTTGCAGTACCTCAACAGAACGCGTCACGCGATTGTTCACAAAAATCGAGACACTTGTTAAAGAATTTAGTCAATCGGGCAATTGTTTTCCGCTTGCATTCATCATCCACGAATTAGAAAAAACCGCATGCGTATACAATATGCCGGAAGCCATAGTCCCAGAAAAACTGTTGGCAATGGATATTGACATTGAAATTATGTTGGAATATTATTACAGGTAAAAAGAAAAAAAAAAGTTTGATTTCAAAAAAAAATTATTCACACTTTTCGCCGTCTTATAGAATGATAATAATGAACGAGCGCACTTGGACACAAGAGGGTAACGAATGGCATTTAGTGGAATCTTGCATACTTTTAACCAGAACGTTGGCCGATACTGTGGAAACACTGTGGTGTCGTTCAAAGTAAGTACAGTAGCAGGTATTAGCATCAGCAATTAATGTTAAAGAGTTTTTGTTTTTAAAAAAAGACTTATCTTTAAAAACAAAAATGTATAAAAATAGTGAACTCATAACTATTCTAAATTAATATTAAATTTATTTTGCAGACGCCGTATAATTGGAAAAGCGCTTGATATTATTTCCTCTTGTCTCAATTTATGTTACCAGAAGCCTAGTACCGAAAGCATGCAACAAGCACTGAAACAAATACAATGTCGACTTCAACGTAGCCTTTAAATTATTAAAAAATTGTTAAAATGTCTAAATATATATACAAATTAAATATTTATAAAGTTTATTATTTTAAAATTATGGTTAAGATGTGTCCATTGTTTGCAAATGGGTTTTCAATAGTATACATTTTGTTAAAAAGCAATCACAAGGCGTTGGATGTTCTACATCATCAGGATCAAAAAGCTCAACCTCAAGATCATAAAATCTTGGATTATCTTGTTTACGAAGCATCTTCATTTCAAATGCTATCGGTTGATTTTCTTCCACTTCTTCACACACTTTTGTAGGCAAAACAACAATGCATTGTTTCCAATGCGTTAGCGGTGCCCGCGGTCCAGTTGACAAAATAACTGCATCCTCATAGCTTTGTGCGGGAAATCGACAATCGAACCAAATACAAAAACCTTGAAATTTTCCAGAGCGTTGTACCGTTATGACTTCTTTCATAATTACACTACTTAATTCGTCAATTTTAACCTCTTCCAAATTCATCCAATGCATCACAGTACCCTCATGCAGCAGATCTGTTGGTTGTACGTTCGCGACTTCTGGTTTCTTTGATTTTTGTTCTCGCAAATGCGCAGCAAACTTTGTCATGCTAATGCCATTAACATTGACCCAATCATCATAACGACTCGGTACTTGACAAGGTGCCACATATAAGATAGTTTCGTTTGGAAACATTTTACCAGAGGGTTTTAAAAAATGATCCCGTGCATAAAGTACTGAATCCAACATGCCTTCGTGCAGCAAATAAAATCCCATCCATTCCGAAACAATAATATCGACTTTTTCCTCTGTTTCAGGCAATTGAAATTCCTCTATTTTGGATTCACAAACCTGTTTTGAATAATATAATTTAAATTTAAAGTTTATTTAAAATTAAAACATTTTTCACCTTGACTATGCTGGTCAAAGCATTTTCTTCAATAACTTGTAGAGCAATCTTGGCCAAATTTGTTGCTTCCACTGCATAAACTAAACGTGCACCTGCCTTAGCGCAAAACGCTGATAATATACCAGTACCTGCGCCTACATCAAGTACTACTTTATCTTTGAACATCGTACTGTTACTCATTATTGCCTGATAGTATGCCTCCTGGCGTGGACGATCTTTAAGCATTAACTCATGTACCTGAAACAACAAGAGTACAATCAATTAGCTGATTTGAAGCATGGAAATATGTATATAATTGTTATATATCTAGTAACAATTGGAAATTATTTTTGTATGCATTTGGAACTAATATCTTACATTCCTAATGCCATTTTATATAAACATAAATAAATATTCAAATACTAAAAA